GCTTGTATTGAAAAGCTTTGTGTTTTTCTACTTTGTTCATACTCCCCATGGACCCTTGCCACTGCTCTGATAATGTCTCTCACACTCCCCCACAGTGTGCTCCATCTCAGATACACTGGTCACCCTACCCCAGGGGCCATCTGTCATTCCCAACTTTTGGGCAGCTTGTCACCAAATGTGCACATAGCTCTCTCTTTTACCTCTCTCAAGTATCACTTTCTTGTTGAGATGTTCCCTGGACATTCTATTTAAAATTGCAAGCTTTGGTCCCCATACACATATTCCTAGTTCTCTTTTCTGTTTTGTTATTGACCGTGTCTGATTTATCATGAATGCTCTATATTTTATTTGTCTTGATTACTATAAACTCCTCCACTAAGAGTTCTTTATTGTTCATGCTTATATTACACATCTTGAATAGTGGCTGGCACAAAATAGGCTCTTGAAAAATATTAGTTGAATGAGTGAATATAATCAGTGGTAATAAGAAGAGCTACCTCTTAGGCAGAAAGGTAAGTAGAAAGTAAATGAGATAAGCACTTTGTAGATGCTAATGCATAACAAATGTTAGTCATTTAAATGAATAATAAATACATACTTGTGTGTATCTGTTGGAAATAATTTTTAGGTGGGAGCTGCAGGAAGTGAAGGAGAAACTCTAGCTATAAGGAATGGTATAGAAATGTGTGGTTTTGCAAGTTAGCCTTAAGCAAGGTAAAGACAGCTGATGGAATCACCCTTGAGTTTGGCCTAGATTACTAGCTGCCAGAGCTGCCAAGGAGGTGAGGGCATGAGGGAGGAAGGGGTTGTGGGACAGGTTGGGCTTGTGTGAGTGGGGTGACAGGGCCTGGGTCTTTATGTGATCTTCTGGATGATTCATGTTAAGGCCTGTAGGCTCACAGAACATTATGTCTTGAATATATCTAGCAGTTTCACAGTTTTCAGGGTCAAAGTCAGGACTTATAGATTCTGCATATTTCTAGAACCAGTTATGCACATGCTAAGTCAACTATATACTCTGAAACTGAGGAAAGGGATTGCTGCCTATGTTCATATACCCTTTAACAGAATATTTTGCCATCCAAATATACATCTCCATGGCGAGTAACAGCATCAGTCCATCTCTATTACACTGCTTTGTGTCTAACACATAGTGATGTTACATATTTTTTTTAAATAGGTTAGAGTGAAAATCAATTCACCTACATCCAGTGATTATCAGTTACAATAAATATTTTAAAGTAAAAATGCTATTTTAAAAAGGCACCCTAATTCTTGAAGTTATAAAGGATATCTAATTCTCAAAAATCTTTATACCCAGATTGTTATTTGATTAGTCAGTCTAAGCATAGTCTATGAATAAAATTCCTTTGTAAATCATATCACCTTTGGATTTTATAACATGAAGTTGATTTTTCTACCAATTGACTTCCTTATACTCTCACTGAGCAGTCCAGGGACAGAGGCAGGAGGTTGGATGATGCTGACAGCGAGTACAGTGAGGGGAGGCACAGAGGGAGATATTGTGATCTGTGGCCAAGGATCACTATAAGGTCTTTCCAAACCTTCCTGGTTTCAGAGAAGTAGTAGTGGCAACCTCTATAATATCTGCATCAGCTTATCATTTGAAGTTGCTTACCAACATTAAGTTTGAACTTGCTGGCTATACTGGTACAGATGTGACCATGGACCCCTGATCTATGAGGTTAGCTAAAAGGTCCAATCTCATTGTTTCAAGGTAGTGACTTGAGATGCTATATGAATGTGTATGCATGTGTGAGTGTGTGTAAATATGTATATATATGTCACATATGCATATATTATGAGAAGAGAAATAAATGGAAAGTGACATCTTTCCAGACAGAAAGAAGTGAGCAAAGCTGTGAGACAGGAAGAGGAGGGAAGGGAATTAGCATATATTAAGTCCCTCTATGAACCAGGCACCCAGGAAAGAAAACAAGGGAGGCTCACAAAGATGGAGGTATGCAATTATCTGGATGTTAAAGAATGAACTTGTAAAATTTTCCTTTCTTAAAGGAGAGTTCTCTAAAAATGGATGCTGACAGTCCATCAGGGAGTGCTTGTCAAGCCACTCAGAATGAACAGAAGACTGTGGGGCACTGATTTTGGCTTTGTCTCCCCTAGGTGCCGGGCTGCTGTCTCACCAGGAGATGAGTTATCTTTGAAGTTCTGCTGAGCAGTCTAGATAGCATGACTTAAAAGTGCAAGCCCCTAAACAGAGTTCAGCTTCCTGGAATACAAATGCTCTGAGAGCCAGACAAGGTCAGGAAAAAACAGCCCAAGACATTTCCCCTGGAGCCCTAGAGAATACTAGTAGTCTCCATAAATAAATAAAGATCCTAGAAGATGACATTTTGTAGGTTTCTAGGTATTAGTATCAGGTTTTTGTTCATTTTTAAAAATCAGAGATCCTTAAGATTTCTGTAATTGCATCTTGTGGTTTCTCTAATGGGCAGTGGGGAGAAGGGTGACCTTGAATAGTCCCCGACTGGGTGGGAGATAAGGTCAGGCCCAAGCGAACATGGGACATGAAAAAGAGAAAAGGATGAAAACAAAACCCATTTTAGAGAGCATTAATACAAATCTCCTACACTTCCTGTTTCAGAATTCTTGGCCAACTGCAGGTTTCGCGTAGATGTTGCTTTGACTTTCTCCACTCCCACTATCTCATGAGATGTCCTCAGCATTGCTGGGCTTATTATAGGAGACTTTTAAACTTCCATCTGTATTTTGGGGTAGATGGCAATCTTTTGGTCCGATTTCTCATCATTCTCAACTCTGTGCTCCTTGTCGTATAACTTTGCAGTACTCTCACATATGGGTTATGGACCTGATTGCCTTTGGTCATCTGTTACACTTTGGCCAATAAATATTTAGAAAATGTAATGCAAGCTGAGGCTTAAAATGTTCTTGCATGCTGGGATTTATTCTTCTGGCAGGAGAATGACAGACACAGCACCACAGGCAAGCCTATCCAAGAATAGAGACCTCAGCAAACCCAAGTGGCCCAACTCAGTTGAGACAGCAGAATCAGCGGGCTCAACCCAGCTCAAAAGAGTTGGCCTCTTCAGATGTGTGAAATAAATGTTTGTTGTTGTATGCCGCAGGTTTATGTGGTTGGTTCTTACAAAGCAACAGCTAACTGACAAAAGAGCAATTTGATCCACACCACTCTTTTCACCAAAGTGATGTTTCTAAAATGAAACACCAAGGGTCTCTCCTGGTGGCGCAGGCAGTTGAGCGCCGTTCTGTGAAGCTGTCCGCAGTCTCTGCAGCACCGCTTCGATCCCAGCCAGGCGGCGAGGGTCCCGCAGCACAGCAGACCTCTCCTGTCCTGCTCGCGGCTCCCCTCAGCAGTGTATTTTGTCAGTCTGCCTGTTCTGTTCCCAGCTCTGTCTTTGGTGAATTCTCTTACCCTCCCATGCATCTGGCCTGTACCCCGGTTCTTGCATAAATAAATAAATAAATAAATAAATAAATAAATAAATAAATAAATAAATCTTAAAAACAAATGGACCACCAATCATGCTAAAATGACTCTTCCTATGATACTCCAATGACTTCCTGTTATGGGCTAAATGATCCCCCCAAATTCATGTTAAAGTCCTAACCCTCAGTGCCTTAGAACATATCCTTATTTGAAACAGGGTTATTGAAAATATAATTAGTTAAGATGTGGTCATACTAGAGTAGGGTGAGATCTTAAACTAATACAACTGGTGTCTTCATATAAAGGGGGAATTTAGAGACAGGCATGAATGCCATGTGAACACAAAATCAGAGATCAGCCTGGCATGTCTACAAATCTGAGAAGACTAAAGTTTCTCAGAAAATCACCAGAAGCTAAGAGAGAAGACTAGAACTAGCTCTCAGAAGGAACTAATACTGCTGACACCTTCATCTCAAACTTCTAGCCTTGTCACTCCCCATTATGTGGGATAAAGTCTAAATTCTTTCACAAGGTAAACAAGTATGTGCTCTATCTATAGTCTCTGTCTGTAGTCTCATAACTCACTGTCATAGTCTCAGACCTACTATCTAACCAGCCATAGCCTCACCCTTTCACTAGCCACACATTTCTAGTGCTTCAAAGCTTTTGTCCACGCTACCCAAACCTTGACTCTAATGTCCTTCCTGGAAACTCCTATCCCCCACTAGATCCCACATCTTTATATAATTAACTTCAGTTTGGTATTTAAAGCTTCAGATCCAGTTTTACCTCTGGAAACTTTCTCCTCACCTTCCCATTCCTAACTCTGAGAGCACGGGTTATAGAATGCTTCCAAAATGCCCTGGCCCCATCTATCTATCACAGTACTCATCATACCCTCACACTGTGAGTAATGACTTATTACATATCTTTCTCCATATCAGCAGACTTGATATGAAGCTCTTCAGGGCACATTCTCTGTCCCTTGATTCCTTGCACCTAGCACAGTGCTAGGCAGAATGGCTGTGCAGGAGACATTTGTGGAGGAAATCTATGAGTGTGCATGGGCAAAACACGAACTGATGTGTTCTTGGCATATGGGAGATATATTCTGGTTGTGTGACAATTGGCAGTTGAGTTTACTTGAAAGCCAAAGCACCCAATTAAACACCAAACATTGCTTCCTTTTTCGTCTTCATTTCCTTCTCTCTTTATAACTACCCAGTCTCACATGCTTTATAATGCTTTTAGATGTAAGTGACTGTGAATTATTACCATGTATAGGCCTTTCATCTTCAAGACTGACAGTCTACATTCCACATTTCTCAGGAGGGAGAAACTATTATAACTATATTTTTGCTTACCAAGAGAATTGTTAATGGTTATCCTGGAGGAAAAAAAAATCTATAAATATCCAACCTATAATGAGGCTGTAAGCTTACTTTCTTCCTTTACTAATGAAATTCTTTCTGAGTGCACAGCCGGGATTGCTCCATAACCATTACACGGAGAAGAGGGACAAAGTCAGTAGTGAATTTTTTTCTTTTACCTGTTTAGTCCTCATTTTGGAATCCAGCGACAGATTGTTGTAGGTATAATGTGCCTGTGTGACTCCACAGAAGAGAACAGCAACTATCCCTGAAATTCAAAAACATGCCAGTCAAAACCAATTCTCGTTGCCATCTATGTCAGGGGCCCAAGCTATCCCAGCTGGAAAATGGACTTGTGTCAGTCAAGTCAACACTAAGGCTAATTACCATGATCACAAAACCTGGGTTAATCTTGCCACTTGCTTTAAACATGGGTTTGCAGAATTAAATATAAAGAAAATTATTCAGTAGATTCTTCCTGGGGAGAAATTATTCTTTGGCCAAGAGTTAGAAATATTGTGCTTGGAAACACGTGAACAAAAGGTTATATAGTTAACTCTGGACTTCCCAAAGCCAGTGCCAATGACTGTGCTGTATTCCATGCTAACTGCTGGCATAGTTGCTCCGATATCTGCTTCCCACTGTGTAACTTGAGGAGCCTGAAAAGGCTCTGTCATAATGTAACTGAGTATTAAAAACCATGAGTCACAACCTAAGACACTACAAGGGTCTGGCAATGCGCTTTCTTGCTTAGCAAGAAAGAGGCTCCTGTTTGCCCCTTGCTTCTTTGGCAGAGCTGAGTCTTCTGTTTTTCTGCTGCCGAATAAAGTAATGACCACATCCAAGGGACATACTCTTTGAAGGTGAGCTGGTCTGTTGTGCGCTTCCTGCCTGCTGCTGCCCCTCAGTTGCTCCTTGGTTATGTAAAACCACACATACACTCAGTGCTCCCTGGGGACAGAGACACAGCAGCTATGTGATAAGTGTGTTATTTGTCTGGTGCTCTGTCATTCCCTGTTATTGCCACTGGTCTGGGGTGGGGAAAGGGTGAGGGTGGCATTCTACTCTGCATGAAAGCTTCAATTAATTATGGGAAATTGGGCATAGAGGAGGGTTTTGGGAAAAACACAAGATGTAAGTATTCCTCAACTCAGACCAAGGGGATCGAATTGAATTTTAAGCAGCAGAATCTTCCAACTAAAAACACTCATAAATTAAATGCTAATGATTCTTAAGAGTATAGCACTATGTGAACTGAATACTGACATTTCAAATGAATCTGCAATAAAGAATTTTAAAGAACCAAGCATATTTTTAAATATGTAGGCTGCATGTTTCTATTTATATATTGGTTATTTGAGGAATCTATTTTGGATAAAATATTGCAAAGACATATTTATATGACACAAGTGCATTGATATATCACTTATTTACTTTTGATATTATGTTCTAAAGTGTTAGGCAAAAGGAAAAAACTAGCAGGAAATTTTTGCTAAGACATATTACACAGTAAGCATCTCTATAGATTTCTGGGAAAGCTTTCAGTTTCTTAGCTTCCCTTCAGAAATTCTAAGAAAAAATGCCTATAAAATATTATATTTCATCCTTCACAGAATTTCTATTAAAAAACAACCAATACCAAGGAAACCCAGGTTACTGGAGCCCTTCGAGTACTTGGAGGCAGTAGAAGGACTGCCATGCGTGCTGTTTGCTATCACATATTTTTCTATATTAAAAAATGTAATTTATCTCTCTCTGCTGATTTTGTAGCCTGTTGGACTCTTTTCTGGGTGAGGTTTAGCTGGCCCTCCCACTGTTGTGGAAACATTTTGACTGTATATTGATCTGCAGAGAAGCAGTGAATAAAAAAGAGAGGGAGTGGTGTAGGTAGTGCATAAATGCATTTGAGAACGGGAACTGGTCCTTCTCGGTTACAATATTCCTGGTGCTCAGGCCAGAACTCTGGGATTACCCGTTCCTTGTTCTTTTGTCCTTCGAAACTTACCCTGAACCCAACCAATAGTGATACTTTTAGGGGCCTCCCTGGTGGTGCAAGGGGTTAAGCACCACACTATGAAGCCTCTGGGGAGCCACCCACACGGCACAGCAGACCTCTCCTGTCTGGCCCGCTGCTCCCCTCAGCAGTGTATTTTGTCAGTCTGCCTGTTCTGTTCCCTGCTCCATCTCTGGTGAATCCTCTCACCCCCTGCATCTCTGGCCTGAACTCCAGTTCTTGTATGCATAAATAAATAAATCTTTAAAAAAAATAGTGGGCCTCCCCTGGTGGCGCAGGCGGTTGAGCACAGCACTATGAAGCTGTCTGCAGCCTCTGCAGCGCTGGTTTGATCCCAGCCAGCTGGCGAGGGTCCCACATGGCGCAGCAGACCTCTCCTGTCATGCCCGCTGCTCCCCTCAGCAGTGTATTTCTTCAGTCTGCCTCTTCTGTTACCCGCTCTCTCTCTGGTGAATCCTCTCACCCTCCCAGCATCTGGCCTGTATCCCGGTTCTTATATAAATAAATAAATAAATCTTAAAAAAAAAAATTGATTCTTTTAAAATAATATACATCATGTCAGTCTTCTGTTCAGTGCCTGACAGAATTGAGTCCAGTCCTCTTCTCCCTTTCTCTGCTAAGCCTGTTTCACTGCGGAGCCCTTGCTCTTATGCTCTTCTGGCCTCCGCTGTTGGGAAAGTCACTTACCGTTCCCTCCTGCCCTTAAGAGGTTGCATTATCATAAGCAGGATATCTCCCTTCACTCTATAAAAAGGATCTATATCATTCTCGCTTATATATTTTTCCATATTTTTACAGGTATGTAACATTTTGCATATTTATGTTTTTATTTCCTACCTTCCTGCTCTGCATGGAAAGCTGGTTGATTGCAAAGGGATTCACCAGTTCCTAAGCCATAGAACAACGCTAGGCACATAGACATTCAACAACTATTTTTGCATAAATGACTATTCCTATCTCCATGTAACAAGTAAGAAACAAATTTGCTCAAGGTCACCTGAATGTGGCAGAGCTGGGTTTCAAAATTCCAGACTCCCGGTGATTTTCTTCTTGTATTAGACCATCTGCAAGTGTCTTCTGGTAATTTTAAGCCATATAAAAAAAAACAACAACCTATTTCTGGTGTTCCAGGGGGAATCGTCAGGATCTGATGATGAAGATTACATATCTGAGTTGACTGGGCATTTCATTCGAGGATATTTTTCCTAATGGCTCCATTGGTTTTCATTTCCTTTCCTCTATTAGGACACTAACAGGCAATGTTTCCGCAAATACTTTTTGAGTTTTGTGTATGAGTATGTCACACAAGCAACAACAATGAATGTACCTCTTATAGCTAAAATAAAACAACTAAGTTGATCTGACCCTTAATATTAACACACATAATCATAATTCTATATTGCTTGGCGATTAATTAACTCACACAAATTACTATAATTAGTATGACTTTTACATGCCAAAACACATTTTGAAAATGTCTCATCTAAATACAACTATTATCTATATAATTTTCTCACATCTAAACACATGCAGAGTTGACAGTTTTCTGCTTTCTAAAAGTGAATTTTAATTGTCATTGCAGGGCCTCCCCAGTGGCACAGCGGTTGAACGCTGGGCTGCGAAGCTGCCCGCAGCCTCTGCAGCGCCGGTTCCATCCCCGGCCATGGGCGAGGGTCCCACATGGCACGCAGACTTCTCCTGCTGTGCCTGCAGCTCCCCTCAGCAGTGTATTTCATCATTCTGCCTGTTCTGCTCCCCGCTCTGGCTCTGTTGAATTCTCTCACCCTCCCGCACTTCTGACTGTGCCCAGTGCTTGTGTAAATAAATAAATAAATCTTTTAAAAAAAATTGTCATTGCATGTTTACCTGATGTCAATAGTTTTACTGCTGTTCTATGGGCCCCCTCTTACAAGCTCAGGATATCAGATTCTCAGGTGGAAAAGGACAGGGGAGGGGCCAAGTGTTCTTTGTGCCAGACAGTAAGCCAGTGCCTAGCTCCAAACTCCCATCCTGTGCTTGTTGGGGTTGAAGCTCTACAGACCACACCTTCCTTTGCCAGAGTCTGTTGGGTTCTGCCAAAATAGAGCCCAGAGGGAGCCAGGGCACAATAGGGTAAAGAGTGCTGTTTCCTGAGGGGAGAGAGGGGCTGTGTCCAGATGGTTAGAGGGGGAAGTGTCCAGAGGGGGAGAGGGGGCTTTCCTCACTCACCTGCTGTTACTGCTAGTTGCATCTCAACAATGGTTCTTCACCACAGTTATGGTGTAACCTCTTTTTTTTTTAAAGATCTATTTATGCATATAAGAACTGGGGTACAGGCCAGAAGTGTGGAGGGTGAGAGGATTCAACAGAGAAAGAGTGGGGAACAGAACAGGTGGATCTACTGAAATACACTGCTGAGGGGAGTAGTGGATGAGACAGGAGAGGTCTCCTGTGCCATGTGGGCAGCTCCCTGGCTGGGGATCAAACTCATGCTGCAGTGGCTGTGGATAGCCCCACAGGTTGGGTCTTAACCCCTTAAGCCACCAGGGAGGCCCACACAACTTCTTTCTATTTTTGTTGTTGTAGGGCAAGTAAAGAATCAGGCTTTTCTGCCCTCCCACCATTAGGACTGATGATGGATCTCTGAGGTTCTGAATGCATGCCTGATGGCGGCACCTGGAATGGGGTGTGGGCATACGTAGATGCGTATACCTGGGCTGAGAGACTGGACCTATAAGGGCGGCATCACAGGGACACCAGCAGAGTGAAAGAGACACTGGAAGAGAACCAGCAGAGGCCACGAGAGAACGCCTGAGTGCCCAGAAAGAGTGAAGACTTGCCTCCCAGCCCCCCAGCACCCTTGCCTGCTATGTACCTGGTTAACTCAATAAAAGCCTGAAAAATCCACCAAGAGCTCCAGGACTCTCCTTCACTTGTCTGCTAGATCATAGAGATCCTGCTCTGTGCTCTTCCTGGCACTACAGTTGTTTTCCTGCACTTCCAAACCAGCCTCTGGCCCCCCTTCAGATCCACTGTATCTTTGTGTGTGGAGCATCCACACTTTGCAGTATTCAGAAGATTTTTGAGCAAATTAATTTTTGTATCTCCCTTTCAATTGCTTGTATTTATTCACAGATATTCTTCATTTTGGCCAATTGAGCCCCTGACCTAGTTGAGAGTTAGGTGGGAGTTATCCTTCAGAGAAGCCAGCAGGAGCCAGGCAGCATCCTCAGGGGTCTAGGTCCTAGCTCAGTGGTTCCCTTTAAGCATCTTCT